ATACGCCACCATGCCCGGCTAATTTTTTTCTATATATTTTTAGTTGTCCAGCTAATTTCTTTCTATTTTTAGTAGAGACGGGGTCTCGCTCTTGCTCAGGCTGGTCTTGAACTCCTGAGCTCAAACAATCCACCCACCTCGGCCTCTCAGAGTGCTAGGATTACAGGCATGAGCCACTGTGCTGGCCAATACTCTTTTTTCAAACATACAGTTCCCAAGGAAATTTATTATCAGAAATGTTATTTCTGGGCTGGGCGCAGTGGCTCTGGGAGGCCAAGATGGGAGGATCGCTCAAGGTCAGGAGTTCAAGACCAGCTTAAGCAAGAGCGAGACTCCATTCTCTACTAAAAATAGAAATTAGCTGGATAACTAAAAATATATAAAAAGATTAGCTGGGCATGGTGGCGAATGCCTGTAGTCCCAGCTACTTGGGAGGCTGAGGCAGAAGGATTGCTTGAGCCCAGGAGTTTGAGGTTGCTGTGAGACAGGCTGACACCACGGCACTCTAGCATGGGCAACAGAGTGAGAGTCTGTCTCAAAAAAAAAATTTTTTTTTATTTCTGATAATAAGTTGATTCTATTATCTGACCACTCTTAGAATAGATTACAGGTTCCTTCAGGGCAAGGATTTCAAGTTATTATACCTAAATTGGTGTTCACTAAACCTATTTCCAATGATAGCAGAAAACCTATTATATATAATTCTTCACATCAGCTTTCATTTTTATTCATTATCTCTCAAATGACCCTGTGAAATTTAGAATTATCTAAAGCCCTTCTATGGTCTGAATGTTTGTGTCCCTCCAAAATTCATACATTGAAATCTAATCCCAAATGTGTTAGTATTAAGAGGTGGGAATTTTGGAAAGTGATTAAGTCATGAGGACTGCACTCTTATGAATGGGATTAATGCCCTTATTAAAAAGGCTTGAGGGGGCTTATCTCTCCCTTCCACCATGTGAGGACAAATAGAAGGCAATATTAATAAAGCAGAGAACTCTTATCAGACACAGAATCTGCTAGTGCCCTTATCTTGGACTTCCCAGCCTCCAGAACTGTGAGAAATAAATTTGTTGTTTATAAATTACCCAGAAATTTTATTATAGTAGTCCAAATAGAGTAAAACATATCCTAAAGTAAAACAATTACTTTTTAAAAACTACCATTTTTATCTTCTCATCTTGCTTGTAGTTGGCACAAATCACACTTTTCATAAGGTGCGTTCAGTTCAAATCAGCAAAAATTTCTGAGGGCACACTCTATGTTTAACACACTACTAGTGCTATAGTGGATTAAGAAAAGTATCTTTTTCTCAAGAAATTTGTGTGTGAAAAGTCAAACCTGGTGCTTAAAAGTTAAAAGCTAATGCCAGGTATGTGACACATGCCTATAATCTTAGCATTCTGGGACCCTTAGGTGAAAGGATCACTTGAGCCCAGGAGTTCAAGCAAGGCTGAGCAACATAGAGAGATCCCGTCCCTACAGAAAAATTAGCTGGGCATGGTGGCACGTGCCTGTAGTCCCAGCTACTTGGGAGGCTGAAGCAGGAGGATCACTTGAGCGGAGGAGTTTGGGGTTGCAGTGAGCTAATGTCACTGCACTCTAGCCCTGGCAACAGAGCATGACCCTGTCTAAAAAAAAGAAAACAAAAAAACCACTAATACACAGCAGTATATAATTCAGCGCTAAAGTAAATGAGATATATTAAATACCAAACTAATGAGATATATTTTATAAATCTGATAAATTTATTTATAAAATTCATGTATGTTTTGGAGATTATACTGCTTTTGTGAATCTCTGTTGTTTATATAGTTATTAGTCCTTTAAGGAAATCCATTTTATAACACTGATAAGAATGAAAATGAAAGTAATTTCTTCCATATTGCACAGAAATTTTTAAAACTGTAACAAGGAAAGAGCCCTAGCATACTTCCTTCTAATAACTTTCTACATTCCAATACATATTTCCATTTTCCTTCTACACATTCTCATCTTTCTGATTTGTGACTTTCTTATCTCCACTTAACATAAGAAACTTTCTTTTCTTTTTGTTTGATACAGAATACATCAGTGCTTTTGGTACAATTTAAAATGCCCATTCAGGCCGGGCGCTGTGGCTCACGCCTGTAATCCTAGCTCTTGGGAGGCCGAGGCGGGCGGATTGCTCAAGGTCAGGAGTTCAAAACCAGCCTGAGCAAGAGCGAGACCCCGTCTCTACTATAAATAGAAAGAAATTAATTGGCCAACTGATATATATATATAAAATTAGCTGGGCATAGTGGCGCATGCCTGTAGTCCCAGCTACTCGGGAGGCTGAGGCAGAAGGATCACTCGAGCCCAGGAGTTTGAGGTTGCTGTGAGCTAGGCTGACGCCACGGCACTCACTCTAGCCTGGACAACAAAGCGAGACTCTGTCTCAAAAAAATAAAATAAAATAAAATAAAATAAATAAATAAATAAAATGCCCATTCAACAGCCCTCTAGTGTTTTGTTTTGTTTTGTTTTTAAAAAAGAAAAGCCCGTGTGAATGAGAAAAGAGGATTAAATATAATCAAAATATCCACATATTTTTTCTGATAAAAACTTAATGTTTCATTATATATACAAAAATATATAGACACAAAAGTATGAGTGTTTTCAAATCTTTAGAACTACTTACAAATAACTACATATATAGCAGTGTTCATAATACCACTGAGAGATTGTAAGCTAGATATGTATCAATGATTTAGATTTTGTTGATGCCTTCTATGTATTATTTCGTAACATTTATCATTCATATTATTTGTATATTTTTAAGAACAAAAAAATAGAAACTTCCAAGGTTTATTAACAAATATATATAAACTCATGAAAGTATTTTCTGTAAATATAGCAACATGTAAAGCTTACTTTAGCAATATGTGCATTATACTTTGTATTGTTTTGGTTCAAAGATAAAATAACTAAACTCCTAGATTTTTGCTATAGACACTGTGAAGTACAGTATGTTTTTATAGATCTTGAATCCATGCCCAATACATTTATGGACTCATAGTCCAATAGGAAAACATTGCTATCACTAGGGAATAATATTTAATGGCAAAAAAGAAAAGAAAAGAAAAATAATCAGGCATGGAGAGGATGGGGAAGGAAAGAATAAACAAAAAGATGATAAACAAAATGTAAAACATCTATTGAGAAATTGGAAAAAATATATTTAGAATATAAATATAGTTTATATATTTATAGTAAAAAACTTATTTAATTTAGTGAAAAAAATTCTCTAAAACTAATATAGTCAACATCACATATTAAATATATTAAATAACATGTAGAATAAAGCTATACAACTTATTTGGCTATGTTTGAAAACTGACTTATTTGTCTTAGAATCAGAAAGCAGTCTAAATTGGCCATATCTATTAAAATGACTTATTCAAGGAAATTTACTGCCAAAATTCAAACACTAATTCTATACCTCAACAATTTTTAATGTGATAGAGTTTCAATCCCAGGAGTTCTTTAAGAAAAAAACTATTTATTGTCAAAAATTCAGGTATACATGAACCAGAAAGCAGTGGCTGACTCAAATCAGCTCTATAATTTGATATAACTAAAGCTACAAAGCAATGGTAATATCACCAAAGAACCTAGTATGAAAATATTATCTAAATGGTTGAGTTTCAAAGACACTTTGAATTCTGGATATCTTAACTTGAAGAATCCCAATAATACATTAAATTCCTTGGATCCTCATTTAAAGTGAGAAACTCATTTCTAAGCATATGTGCACAAGTACCTTAGCCTCTTCATGCCTGCTTGCCTGTCCCACAGTCAGAGAAGGGAGGATATTTGGTTAGGCATATGTTTACGAGTAAAGACAGAAAAATTCCAACTTTAAAACTAAATATTTTCCTTGTTTAATTCTGGTATCTTATTGGTCCATATGCTGCCTCCTCCTCACAGTATGGTATCAAAATCTCCTAGATTCTGACTTTCTTTTAAAGTATAATGATAACATCAAGAAGACAGGATTGAAGAGCAGAAATACTATATGAGAAAGCAGAGCAAAACAGATGATAATCTAAATGCACACTGACATACTTGCTGAAGACATTAGGTGCTCCATAAATGCTTGTTGAAATGCTGTTTGGCAACATTTGTTGGGGAAAATTCATCTCTTTCTCTACTTTAAGAATCCTCGTGAGTTAATCACAACCAGTTCAGTACAATTTAACAGAAAACATCTGGTGGCACTTTTTACATTGCTTAAGGACAGCATTTCACAAACTATGCCTGCCCCTACACCCACTGCAGCAGGGGAAAATAAGGTTAATGAGAGAAGCAGACATGAATATCAGGAGAGTCCAGGACATATCATTTGTTTATATAGATTAGGTCTTGCCTGAGGCCAGCCCCACTCCTAGATTTTCTACAGAGTGCCCACACATTCGTTTTTTCTTTTTGGCTTACACTAGAAGGATTTCAGTTTCTGTAATTTGTACCCAACAGAATACTAGTATAGAGTGCCTGTTCAGTGCAAAAGATCTTGTTTTTGAATCCATAATACTCATATGTATATCAGAGTCCCATCAATGTCTTCTCATGGTAATTGACAAGGTAACTGTGACTATCAGGAAAAGAAACAGTAAGTTTGAGAAATAACCACAATCCCTCTTATAGACTCAATATATATTAAAAAGCTTCTGAGAAATTATTCAGTAAAGCAACCCTCTTTAACTCAGTTGACCTCACATTTACAAACTGTATTTGTGATGGAATCTTTTTTAATGACTTCTTATGTCTTTTAAAACTATTAACTGGTGGAACACAGTTTGGGAAGTGCTAGTTGGAAACATGACCATGCTCCCTTAGATCCAGCATCTGAAAAAAATATAGAAACAAGCATTCCTATCTGCTTCCTAATATATTAAAAATTTTAAATATACCAGAAGAGCGCAAAACTCATTTTTGAATGTAAAAGTACTTTACATTCTAGATTGAAACTGACTTACCTGCATAGAAATAAGAATGAAATCAATTAGGCTCCCAATTCCACAAAACCCTACAGTGCAAAACTTTAACAAACCTAGAAAAGAAGGTAAAGTCATTTAGAATCTGTAAAGTCTTATAAATATTAACAAACTTTTCTATTTTCAAAAAAACTATTATATGTACCACAAATTCTTTATATCTAGAATATAAAAGTAACACTTTAAAAAATCCAATCTTCACATGAAAATATGAGATAAGTTGAAAGGAAACCTCTATATAGAAAAGCCCCCAAATAATTTATTAATTCACTTAACAAATAAATATTAGTAACTGAAAGGAAAAACTTAACATAGGTTGGGAGTGGTGGCTCATGCCTATAATCCCAACACTTCGGGAGGCCAAGGGGAGAGGACTGCTTGAGCCCAGGAACTTGAGACTAATCTGGGTAACACAGTGAGACCCCATCTGTACAAAAAATTTAAAAAATTAGCCAGGCATGGCAGAACATGCCTATCATCCCAGCTACTAGGGAGGCTGAGGCAGGAGGATCCTTGAGCCCAGATGTCTGAGGCTGCAGTGAGCTATGATCATGCCACTGCACCCCAACCTGAGTAACAGAGCAAGTCCCTGTCTCAAAAGAAGAAAAAATTATTAAAAAAAAAAAGAAAAAATATAACATTATAAAAATTCTTAAAAGAAAAGGCCTAAGGAGGTAATCTTTAAATTTCAGTATATCAGAGTTATAGAACATCTTTTAGTCCTAAAATCCTTATATTTAGACTTTATATACTATGTAATTCAAATACTATACATTTAGAGTAGAAAGTTCAAACATGTAAATTGTTACACCACAGAAAACTACTCAGGAAAAAACACTGACCATGTTGTAAAATTGCAACATTTTATTAATAACCCAACTATCTTTATTATTATTATTATTTTTTTTTTTTGAGACAGGGTCTCACTCTGTCACCCAGGCTAAAGTGCAATGACATCATCAAAGCTCACTGCAACTTCCAACTCCTAGGCTCAAGTGATCCTCCTGCCTCAGCCTCCTGAATAATTAGGACTATAGGAACATACCACCATACCTGGCTAATATGTTTATTTTTTATAGAGACAAGGTCTTGCTATTGCCCAGGCTGATCTCGAATTCCTAGGCTCAAGTGATCCTCCCATCTCAGCTTCCCAAAGTGCTAGGATTATAAGTGTGAGCCACAGTGCCCCGTGCACGGCCCCAATTATCTTTAATCTATCCCATACATTTTTCCCCTAATCATTTCCTGTTTATTAGCTCTATGGTCAAAATCAATAATTCTTTGCTGGCCATGACATACAGCTTCATCCTTGGTCCCAATCTGAGAGCTAAGACACTAAAACAGATGACAACAGAGCATCAAATCTAGGACATGTACAATGATATAACCCCAAAACATGACAATTATACGAGGCAGATTAAGGGTGGGTTGGAGATGGTATGATTAATCTCTCTTTAAGAATTTAAACTTGGGGCCAGGCATGGTGGCTCACACCTGTAATCCTAGCACTCTGGGAGGCCGAGGCGGCGGATTGCTCGAGGTCAGGAGTTCAAAACCAGCCTGAGAGAGTGAGACTCCATCTTTACTATAAATAGAAAGAAATTAATTGGCCAACTAATATATATAGAAAACATTAGCTGGGCATGGTGGTGCATGCCTGTAGTCCCAGCGACTCGGGAGGCTGAGGCAGGAGGATCGCTTGAGACTAGGAGTTCGAGGTTGCTGTGAGCTAGGCTGATGGCACAGCACTCATTCTAGCCTGGGCAACAAAGCAAGACACTGTCTCAAAAAAAAAGAATTTAAACTTGAGTTTCTTACAAGATATTTCATTTGAAATATAAAAATGGTATAAAACAAGATTCTTTGTGAAAAGGTAGTTCCAAATATTAACTACAAATAGATGCCAGTTAAAAATCATAAGAGTGTCTCTGGGAGGCCAAGGCGGGCTGATTGCTCAAGGTCAGGAGTTCGAAACCAGCCTGAGCAAAAGCGAGACCCCCGTCTCTACTATAAATAGAAAGAAATTAATTGGCCAACTAATATACATAGAAAAAAAATTAGCCGGGCATGGTGGTGCATGCCTATAGTCCCAGCTACTTGGGAGGCTGAGGCAGCAGGATTGCTTGAGCCCAGGAGATTAAGGTTGCTGTGAGCTAGGCTGACACCACAGCACTCACTCTAGCCTGGGCAACAAAGTGAGACTCTGCCTCAAAAAAATAAATAAATAAATAAAATAAAATCATAAGAATGAATAAGATCACTCACACATACAACCTGGTAAAACACAAACAAGACTGAAATATGTAGGTACATTAGATGATTTTTTCCCCACATATAGCAGAATAAAGTTGTAAGTACTGGGATAACACATGTTAGAAATAATTTAATAACTATTAAAATACAGAGATTATTTTTTAGTTTTCTTCAAAATACTTATTACCTACCTAACATTTTATCTTTGTTTACTCATTAGTAAACTTACTCATTACTCATTAGGGCAGAAACTTTTATCTGTTTTGTTTACTCCTGTGTCCATAGTGACTACAACATTGCCTGCACAGATGCTCAATATTTGCTGAATAAATGAATAAATCTCATATTTCTGTTTCCCGAACACTCCTATCATTTTATCCATTACCTTAATAACTCCATTAGTTCTTTCTTTCATTGGTTACATTTTACTATAGTAGCCCAAAGAAACTTGTCTGCTGAGATTTTATCTACACACTTAGTATATATTAATATATATATTTTTAATAAGAAGTCAACTAGCATCATTCAGTTTATTTTATATTTCTGAAATGTATCTCTCTTCACACAGCATTTTAGTGTAAATTTGGAAAATCAGCTTCCCTGTCTTTGTTTATAAAAAGATTATTAACTATGGTCCCCGAAAAGTTATGCCTTTAACTGCTAGTCCATGAATGAAGAATAAGTCATCACATCAGCGTCTCCACCTTTACTGTGCCATCTTCCAAGGATATTTTTCCTACTCTTCTCATCTTTCAGGCTACTTCTTCAAAGAAGTTTTCCCTAACCCCTAACCTGCCTGTCTAAAGCATGCCATCCTCCCTCCCCTATAACCCAATCACATCTCTCCCATTTATTTCCTTCATAATGCTGACTAAAATCTATTAACAGCCTCATTGTTGGTTCATTTGCTCATCTGTCTTCCTCTAGAATGTAAATTCCTAAAGACTGGGGCTCTATCTGTCTCATTCAAGTTGATGCCCCAAACATTATCTGTCAGAGTTTGGTAAACATTTGTTGTTTGAATATCAAAAAACTAGAAACAATCTAAATGTTCAGTATGGAGGAACTGTCTCAAAAAAGGTACAATGAGGGCCGGGCGTGGTGGCTCACGCCTGTAATCCTAGCACTTTGGGAGCCCGAGGTGGGCGGATTGCTCAAGGTCAGGAGTTCGAAACCAGCCTGAGCGAGACCCCGTCTCTACCAAAAATCTCTACCAAAAATAGAAATAAATTAATTGATCAACTAAAAATATATATATAAAAAATTAGCCAGGCATGGTGGCGCATGCCTGTAGTCCCAGCTACTCGGGAGGCTGAGGCAGTAGGATCGCTGAGCCCCGGAGATTGAGGTTGCTGTGAGCCAGGCTGACGCCACGGCACTCACTCTAGCCTGGGCAACAAAGTGAGACTCTGTCTCAAAAAAAAAAAAAAAAAAAAAAGTACAATGAGTAATAGAACAGCATACTATGCAGCCATTTAAAATAATGATATAGAAGTATATTTTTTGGCAAAGTAATATGATAATACCCATAACAGAGTAAGATGATGAGTTCATCAAAATCTATTCTAGATATTCTGCTGCTGAACTCCTTCTCAAGGGCGCTTTACAAAATGACCAGAGGTTCCTGTTAAGATAAAGTATTAGGCCGGGCGTGGTTGCTCATGCCTGTAATCCTAGCACTCTGGGAGGCTGAGGTGGGCGGATCATTTGAGTTCAGGAGTTCGAAACCAGCCTGAGCAAGAATGAGACCCGTCTCTACTATAAATAAAAAAAAAATTAATTGGCCAACTAAAAATATGTAGAAAAAATTAGCCAGGCATGGTGGCGCATGCCTGTAGTCCCAGCTACTTGGGAGGCTGAGACAGCAGGATTGCTTGAGCCCAGGAGTTTGAGGTTGTTGTGAGCTAGGCTGACGCCACAGCACTCACTCTAGCCTGGGCAACAAAGTGAGACTCTGTCTCAAAAAAAAAAAAAATTTCTTTTGTTTTTTGAGACTGGTCTGTCTCTCTTTTTTGCCCAGGTTGGTGTACTGTGGCCATTCACAGACGTGATCATAGTGCACTGGGGCTTAGAACTCCTGGCCTCAAAACCCTTCCACCTCAGCCTCCCAGGAGCTAAGATTCCTGGTGTATTCCATAGTTATGTACACCAAAAATGGAATTTTAAATTCTATCTATAATACTTTCATACCAGTCAACACTGGTTATGCAGTTAAGAACTTTTAAATGGCAGTGATCATTTTACACTGAAAATATCCAAATCCTTAACCTTAGAATCTTAGTAAAAATTAAAAATTTAATAATTAAATTAACAGTTATTTTTACCATAATTAGATTAGATTAGCTGATAAAATAGTACCTAAATCCTTAACATTGAGCTAGGTTAAATGCAAGTAAGATAAAGATAAAAACATTTGAATGTGTAAAGAGATATGAGGAAAATATTTGAATGTATAAACCAGATATGAGTATTTCAGTTAAAGATAACAAATTTGACATGCCCACTCTAGCTTTTCTCATTCCAAGATCGTACTAAAAAATGGAAGTGGGATTTTTAAAAAGTGACAAACTCAATAAAAAGAATGAAAGATAAGACAATAGCAACAAGTTGTAAAGCAGATGAGAGGTTTCTCAATACAAATTATAGGGAGCCATTGGTTTAGACTAAGCATCTGTACTAGGTCCAAAAGACTACACTAAAAAATAGAGTCACCTATGCTAAAGTTCACATCACTAAACCCAAACTAAATAAATGACTTTCCAGAAATCAAGAGAAACAGATAACAGCCAATTTCCCAACAGGCCAGTTTAAAATCTTTTATTTGCATATATGAAGTTTCCTCTGCTTTAATTCTTACACAAAAAAGGTAGGCTAAAGTAACCTGATGTAAACTAATTGGTATTGTTCTATTTTTGTATCTCCCTGTCCGTGCTTATAAGAAATTATCTTTGAAGCAACTGTTTGTCTTTGCTTCAGTCCTTCTCTGTCTATAAAGCCAACTTCTTCTGTTCGCTCATTGGACAATTATTCTATTTTATGGAATAAGTGTTGTCCCATTACAGAATTGCAAATAAAACAAAACTCAATTTGTTGTAATTTTTGTCTTTTGACAGGTGTTTCCTTTCTCAAGCCAGCAGTCAAAATATTTGAATTAATCAGTATCTGAAGGTTGCCATATAATAATAAAGTATTATATATTAAAGTTTACAAAAGCCCTTTAAACTGAAGCATAAAGTCAAATGTTAAAAATTAAATTTGCAAATTTATGGAAACTTGGCTTCAAAATGAAAGGTTCTCTTTGACATAAGCTATAATAGACTAGCAGTAGCCACAGAAAGGCAGCTCTTGGCAGTAAATTGATATCTACTAACCACAGCCACTATACATACGTAGAGCTTTATTACCTAGAATTTTATTTCGTAAGAAATAAGTTCACAATATAGATACCAACATATTATTATCCATTACAGTGAGTCAAAAACATTAACTTACACCATATGACATGACAGCCCCTCTGATATACTTCACAAGAAAATAAAAAGTCACTCACTAACTCAAACACTTAAAATACATTTACTATTTAAAATCATCTCAGAATAAAGTATTCCAAAGAATAGTGCTTCTTATTCCACCCCAACCTTTTAAAAACTTTTAAAAGTTAGAAATCTTTCTGGAAAACATATATATATATGGTCCTGTACTCTTAAAGAGTACATATAAGAAAATGCAAGGACCAAGTAAGAAGACCTGGGATTTATTTTATCTATCACTATGTCATATTACTTTCTCATCATGATCCTAGTTTCTCCATCTATCCATCATCTAAAAAGAGGGTTAGACTAAACGATTTTTATTTTGGGAACTCAGGGGCCTTCTGTGCATACTATATGGTTTTCAGCTGTGTTATGGAAAGGTATGGTTGCTATAATGAATGGCATGAAAGGGTTGTTACACTGTTATTCAAGCGAGGACTAATGCATCAACCTCCTTTCAGCTTACTTTGCCACCAGTCTTTCTCTAATCTAAGCCATTTCCTACAATTCCTCTAATATTATCTTCCTAAAATATAAATCAGACCATGACATTCTGTTTAAAAAACTGTATTACTTTTGGTAATTAAAGGGTAACTTCTGATATCTAAAGGTCCGAAATCCATAGCAACACACTCAAAGTCTTTTATAATCTGACCACAGTACCTCTCCAGTCAGTTTCACCTCTTGCCATTGTTCTTCCTACACATAGGCTAAATTATCCCCCATTCCCTTAATGAACACCTATGCTCTTTCAAACTCTATGCCTTTGCACAGGCTGTTTCCTGTAATGCCTTAAAATTCTTGATTTCTTTTTCTTTCAAAACCTACCTCAAATGTCGCCCAACCTAAGAAGTCTTCCCTTACACCCTGACGTCAACTGAATTAGTCTTTTTTCTGTGCTTTGTTATGGATCTGTCACAGTGCTATATCATAAAACAGCCTATCAACATATTTTATTTCATATTTATTTTCTTGTTAACCAATATACATTGTGATCTTTATCATTATCTCCAAAGCACTTACTTAGTAACTTAAATGTTGAATAAATGTTTGTTAACTGAATAAATTGGTGTACATAAAACTTTAAACTTTGACTTTTATTTATGAACACTCAGTTTTAGGTATGACTGTCAGAAACATACCTCCCACCAACCCCACAGTGAAGATTCCTCTTTGAATTCTGGTGTAGTAACATGGAAGGAATGAGGTTAGCTTTGCTAGTTGGAAAGCGGAGCATTCAAAAACTTTAAATTTGCTCAGTGAAGGCCTAATATTGAAGCAGAATACTATAGTAAATAAAACATGATCTCTAAAGCCAGAAATTTGGGTTCAAATTGAGGTCGCTAGCTGAGTGTCCTTGGGTAAATCTCTTAATCTCGTGACAATTTCCCTATCCATAAAACAAAGATGATAACAACAAATATGTCACAGAATAAAGCAAAGAAAGACTCTAGACTCAGTAAATCCCTTAACCTCTCTGGTGACAGTTTCCCTACCTGTTAAAGAGGATGATAAACTCAAGACAGTTGTAAGGGCTTAAATAAGGGAGGCATGTGAAAGTATTGTTTGAACAGAAGGTATAGTTAAATGCAAATCATTTCATAAGCATTAATAACTAAAGTAAATGTGAAGATTACACCTAGCAGGAAGGTATGGAGAGGGATGCTAAGAGTGAGAGAAGTCAGGCTCCCCCTCTAGATCAAGCTGGTTGCCAAAGTTTTAATCCCAGTTTATCCTGAAAGAAATACGTAGTTTCAATTCCCAGGGCAACAGTGATAGAAGTTCAGGTAGAAGAAAAATGTTCTGGAGGAGTAGAGAATATGCATTTGTTCATAAAATGTTTATTGAACCTCCACTGTACGGTCAGCACTAGCAGTGACAGTTCTAGTCTACTGTCTTAAGTAAATGCCTATACACTATCTTGAGTGTGTGTTTTCATAAAGGTGAAAATACAGGAAAAGTCAATATTTCTTACCTAAACTGAATTGTAGAGCTGGTAGCTCTATATCACAGAAGAATGTTAACTGTTCAATTCCAATTACATGGAATTTATAACACAGAGAGATTTAATCTGTAAGAATACATACATTTAACTAGAATGCAAGTTTCACCAGCTTTCTTTTTTAATGAAACATACTCACCCAAGGCAGGGTATCCAAGGTAAAATCGATCTGCTCCCAACCATCCAAGAAAAAGAGACAATGCAACTGCCACTTTGTATGAATAGCCATTTCTGCACAAAATAAAACCTGAGCGTCATATGCATATATTTCTAACATGTGAACATTTTAGAACATAAAATTATTAATTAGTACTTATTTGTTAATTAATTAATTAATTCAATTAATCCTTTGGGGGTGCCTATTATGTACCAGGCACTATTCTAGGCTATTGAGATATATTAATGAATAAAAGTGACAAAGACCCCTGTCCCTGAGGCGCTTGCAATCTAGTGGCAGCAAACAATAACATAAACATATTTATAAAGTATATCACCTCCAAGCAGAGACCAGGAGAGGGCCTAGGCCAGAGCCCCATGACACTAGGAGGTGAGGTGAAGTGCTGAGCAATTTGGGAACTCAACTCTGAAAAAAGAGGGCAGTGGATTTCAGTTAAGTTCCTTATGTCCTGAAATTGCTTCCCTCTCATGGGGGCAAATGAAAATATAAGCCTCTACTACAACCTATAAGGACTGCAAATATGGCCAGAAGGCAGTCAGGCTTGAGATTGGAGAGAAACAGGAACTGAGCATTCTCCTCTTGTGCAGCCTATAAATATGAAGGAAGTTGTTGAGAAGGGTGTATAGACTCTTGTGACTGCCCAAAGAATGAGTGAGGCCTTGAAGGTGCCTCCTTCAACTGTGGAGTACCTCAAGAAACAAGACATTGATGCGTGAGTCCTCCAGACAGAGGAGGCAGTGAAGGAGTATAATGCCTTGGCTGCCCAAGGGGTCTGTGTGGGATTCTAGCTGCTGATGGAGGCTAAGGAGGAAAATAAATCACTAAGCAACTTAAAAAATAAAATAAAATAAATCATAGCCAGGTATGGTGGTGGATGCCTGTCGTCCCAGCTATTCTGGGGGCTGAGATGGGAGGATCACATGTGCCCAGGAGTTCAAGGCTACAGCCACTATACTCCAGCCTGGGAGTGAGACCTTGTCTCTTTAAAAAAAAAGAAAAGAAAAGTAAATCACATACTATGTTCGAAAGCCATAAATATTATGAAAAAAAAAAAAAAAGAAGTGGAGCAGGGTATGTAGGGAATCAAGAATACTAGGGGCTGTTTAAATGGAGTGATAAGATTAGGCCTCATTGAGAAGGCCTTATTTTGATCAAAGACCTGAGAAGTAAGTGAGTTAGCCATGCTCACTCTGAGGGAAGACTATCTTGGGCAAAAGAAACAGCTGGTATAAAGGCAGCATTCCTAGAATGTTTGAGATCTATTAAAGAGGCCAGTGTAGCAGGAGTGAGAGAAAGGAAAGAATATTAGGAGATGAGGTCAGAAAGGTAATGGAAGATAGAAAAAACAAATAATGCAGTGCCCTGTACACCACTGTAAATACTCTTTTACTAAGAAAAAAATGGGAATCTACTGCATGATTTTAAGTAATGGCATGACATGATCTCATTAGATTTTACAATAATCACTCTGGCTGCTGTGCTGAAAACAGACCACAGGGAAGTATTTGTCAGCTCCTGTCACAATGATGTTATATAATAAACCACCCTAAAACTCAGTGGCTTATAACAATAAACTACCATTCTCATACTTGCAGACTGCAGATTGGTTGTGGTTCTACTGACTTAGGCTAGTTACGCTGGGAGATTCTGCTTCAGGCTGAGGTTTGGCTGAACTTGCACCCATGCTGGGGATTTAGTTCAAGTCAGTTCAAGAAACACTTAAGTGTTTCTAGGGCCCCAAGCTGAAGGTGTAGCAGCTACATGGGTCAAGTTCTTTTCAGAACATATCATCAAAGTACAAAACACAAGCTAAACTCCATAAGCACAATAAAGACTGCTTGTTTCACATCTGCTAACATTACATAGGCCAAATTAAGTCACATAAGCAGCCTAAAATCAATGAAGTGAGAATATACACTGCCCAGTTGATGGAGACTTAGAGAAATGAATGTTTATTGAACAAATTCAAACTATGACAGAGACAAAAGAGTTTGAAGGCCTGGCATGGTGGCTCACACCAGTAATCCTACCACTCTGGGAGGCCAAGGTGGAACAATCGTTTGAGGTCAAGTGTTTGAGACCAGCCTAAACAAAAGTGAGACCCTGTCTCTACCAAAATAGAAAAAATAAGCTGGGTGTGGTGGCGCATGCCTGTAGTCCCACCTACTTGGGAGGCTGAGGCAGGAGGATCACTTAGGCACTTGAGGCCAAGAGTTCAAGGATATTATTGTGTGCTATTATTGTGCCCATGAATAGCCACTGCATTCCAGCCTGAGCAACACAGATCTCATGAAAGAAAAGATGGGAGGGGAAAGAAAGAAAGGAAAAATAATTAAAGAAAAGAAGTAAAAGACAACTCTTTCAAGGAGTTTTGCTGCAAAGAGGAGTAGAGAAATAGAGGGGTAGCTAGAGATATCATTTTAAAGTCAAATCTCATCATGTAAGACCCCCGCTTATAATCCTATTTTTTTGCTATGTACAGTTTTGTGCAATGTTTTTTACACAAAATTGGGACATTTGTGGGGAGTTGGGGGAGATGCTTAATGCCCAGAAATCTTCCTTATGTGTCTAACATAACGATACTCGAATTTCATGCTCAGAGGAGTCATGCCCCATCTACATTGGAATGGGGCACTAGAGTAGAGAAATAAAATTAGGAGGCTATGTGGAATCTCAGGCTGCAATCTAATAGGCAGAAGTAGTGGGAGAAAGAAGTGAACAAAACTGGGAAATATTAAGAAGGCAGAAGCAACCAGACTAAATGTGGAGAATGAGGGAAAAGGAGAAATTAAGAATGACTTCAAAGCTTCTGCTTAAGAAGCTGGGTAGAACAGGTATCATTCACTAAGATAAAGGAGGAAATAATTTGAAGAAAAATATAACAGATTCAGTTTTAGACTTTATATATATAAAGATGGTAATATATTTTATATGTGTGTGTATATATACACATATGTGTATATATACACATATATATGTATGTATGTACATATATGTATGTATATATGTGTGTATGTACATATATGTGTGTATGTACACACATATATGTGTGTGTGTATATATATACACACACACACACATATATATATATATATAAACACACACATATATATATATGTATAGTGAGAGAAACCAAAATAGTTCACTAATGAAAAAGAGAAAAACGACCAAGGATATAATCAATGGATATCAAGATTTAAGGAAGAAGCAAAGGAACAGGAATCAAAGGAAATAGAAAAGAGTGTTTTATACTATAAGCCAAGGAATGAAAATATTTTAAGAGACTGGAATGGCCAAATGCTGTAGAAAGATTAAGATATGGACTGTAAATATCCATTTGACACAGCAACAAAGATCGCTAGTGAATTTCGGCATGGCAAAAAGCCATAGTGCTTTAGACAGAAAATTTCATAACAGAAAAGTATTACAAAAACAACTCTTTCAAAAAGCTTGGCTGGGAATGGAAATGAAATTTGAAAAGCAATTATCTTTATAAGTAAATCACCTTAAAGAATAATCTGAAAACTGGTGATATTGTCTAGCTATTCACAGAATCATTTCTCTTTTTCTTACAGATATACAGCTAAACTATATATCCTAGCGCACCTTACAGATAAGTGCAGCCATAACTGAGTTTTGGCCAATGGACTGAGGACAGAAGTAATGTATGACATCTCCAAGTCTAGCCCATAGAACACTCCTACAAAAGTTTCCCTCTCCCCTTTACCATCTACTGGCTAAATGGAAAGGACTCTAAGAATTAGAGGAAGCACAGCCACAAGATGAAATAAGCAGAGCCCGTGCATAACTACACAGAACAATTATCACCTTACCTACCCTACTCAGACCTCCAAGCCAACACAAATTGAACTGTAAAGTGAGTGTGAAATACTAATAAAGATGGCCAGTATAAACAGGTGGGTGGCTTGGTAATCAATCAGACGTGGTCATCAGACTTCAGTTTCTGAAGAACACATTAAATTAACAGAATGGTTATATCTACAATATTAACCTGGAATTTTAATTGAGTATTAATATTAAAATTTTTAAAAGAATATGCTGACAGTAGAAGGAAAATATATAAATTGGAGAAGGAACACCCAAAGAATTTGTCTGTGAGTCTTTATTTGGTAGCTGAGCAGCAGCTAGCCTTTTGGTAGGCATGTACCTACTATTCTGGTAAAGGAAAAATGATATACCAGGTCATCTCAGCTTTGTGACTCTTACCATTAAAATTACCCATCACTCTAACTCCTGTTGTTCTGATGCCATGCTCATCAAGCAAATTCTATTTTAGAATTGTGGATTTTATTACAGAAGCAGAATAAGTTGGTCAGTAGACTTGGAATATCTGATATTTCTCATCATATTTGAAATCAATGTCTTAGGAGCATGATTGGTGTAGTTCAGTTGCATTAAGTCTAATCTACCCTGAGATTATGAAAGAAAAATCAGCATTAACCTGGAAACTAAGTAACAGACCATCGTGGTGTTACCATTACAGGTAATATGAACCTATAAGGTCCAATCTGAGTGGTTAGCTGTTCTCAACAGATGATTTTCTTAGTTGTTGTATTATGGCCGATAATATCTTAAGCTAGCACTTAATATGTTATTTTATTGTTTATAATGTTTAAGGTAGAAATACCAATCTATAAATTTAAAAATTGACTAAATCATATCTAAATACTTTGGAAATAATTCCTTTTAACAATTTTTACTTACCTAATGAGAAATCCTGGAACCCAAGATTAAGTGATTGGTTTAAGATTATATAGCAAAATAGATTCAAAAGCCCCTCATTAACTCAATGAAGTAGGGTCAAAAGAAAAAAAGGACTCCAAGAGTATTTTCTAAGAATCCTAACAGAACTTGTGGAAAAAGCCAAACTGATTATTTCTTGAAACAACTGAAACTAGGTGTCATCAAAGAGAATGCAACAATATACAGTTATAAGATAAAAATACAGTGTGAGCAATTAATAAAAATGGGTAAATCATGTTTTCAGTACGAAGCAGAAATATAAGAATAAAATTTAAGGTTTGTAATACCAAAAGTAAAATCAAACTTAAAAATTCTTCAAACAGTCTGGGCACAATGATTCTTGCCTGTAATCCTAGCACTCTGGGAAGCCAATGCAGGAGGATCACATGAGATCAGAAGTTTTGAGACCAGCTAGAGCAAGAGTGAGATCCTGTCTCTACAAAAAATATAAAAATTAGCCAGACATGGTGGATTGTGCCTGTAGTCCCAGCTACTTGGGAGGCTGAGGCAGGAGGATTGCTTGAGCCCAGGAGTTTGAGGCTGCAGCAAGCTATGATGACGCCACTGCACTCTAGCCAGGGCAACAGAGTAAGACTCTGTCCCTACAAAAAAAAAATCCTTCAAACAGAGAACATTCCTAACAAAATAAAGCCATTTGTCTTACTATCCCAAACTGATAACTTTTGAATTGTTTAACATTGCCATTTATCATCCATATCTATTACAAAGAATGAAACCAAGTTTCAAAATGCCCTTAATGTGCAAAAAATAATTATCACTTTTCTGATATAATAGCTACACAATTCCTATTTATATTCTAGAAACTCCCCAAATTTTGAAAACAGACTTTTTTCATAATTCATTTGGTTGCATAAACTGACCAACTTGAATTAAAATGGCATAAGGCTATTTGTAGTCTTTCTTTACCCCACTTAGTGAACTACTAATACTTAGCTCTACCTCATTGGTGAATTGCATTTATAAAAATATATGCACACTAAAAATATACATTTTCTGACCCAAGCAAAAGATAAAAGATATATTTGCAGGATATTCCCCAAAAATTATCCCTTCAATTCATAGAATCAAGATACAACAGAAGGCTGGGTGAGGTGGCTCATGCCTGTAATCCTAGCGCTCTGGGAGGCCGAGGCAGGAGGATTGCTTAAGGTCAGGAGTTCGAAACCAGCCTGAGCAAGAGCAAGACCCCGTCTCTACTAAAAATAGAAAGAAATTAATTGACCAACTAAAATATATATATATGAAAAAAATTAGCTGGCCATGGTGGCGCATGCCTGTAGTCCCAGCTACTTGGGAGGCTGAGGCAGGAGGATCACAGGAGCCCAGGAGATTGAGGTTGCTGCAAGCTAGGTTAATGCCACGGCACTCTAGCCCAGACAACAGAGTGAGACTTTGACTCAAAAAAAAAAAAAAAAAAAAAAAAGATACAACATAAACAAGTAACATGAAAATTTAAGTTTGAATAGTATACTTACACATTTCGGCAAGATATGGGCTTGAGAAAACCTATTTCAGTTCCAGTAAAATGTGTTTCATTGCCACTGAAATCCTTACAAGTTATGTTGGGTGCTGGAAAACATGGAACTGAAAGCAGGAAAAAAAGCCAATAAACCATTACTTTTTTTCTGTAGAAAAGGTATATAATTGAGTTTTTTTGTTTATTTGTTTGTTTTTTTGAGACAGAGTCTTGCTCTGTTGCCTGAACTAGAGTGCCGTGGCATCAGCCTAACTCACAGCAACCTCAAATTCCTGGGCTCAAGCAATCCTTCTGCCTCAGCCTTCCAAGTAGCTGGGACTACAGGCATGTGCCACCATGCTGGGCTAATTTTTTAAATATATTTTTAGTTGTCTAGCTAATATCTTTCTATTTTTAGTAGAGACGGGGGTCTTACTCTTGCTCTGGCTGGTCTTGAACTCCTGACCTTGAGCGATCATCCTGCCTTGGCCTCCCAGAGTCCTAGGATTACAGTCATGAGCCACCACACTCAGCCTATAATTGTTTTTTCTAAGACTAGTAAAGCACATAAGAAAATATGTTATAACAAACCACCTCCCAATATAATATCCGACACAAGGTTTTAACTTAGATAGGAAAAACTATATTATATATAGGCATTTATATACAAGATAAATATAATATGATATAGTGGTCTCTTAGCATACAAATACAAGATACACTGGATTAGATCATGGCTCATCTCTTTTCTTCTGACAAAGGTAACAAGGGAATAATTGTACAATATTACTGCCCTTCATCTCTAAGATAAAGAATACTCAAATTTTTGTTGGTAACTCATTGGGCAATTTGTCTGTTAAATGATTCAATATAACCCAGGTTTGTATTTTCAGCTTATATCAACTGTTATAGATAATGACTAGCATAAAAATTCTTTTTATTCATTCTAAATGTATTTAGATTTCTTTTTTCTTTTTTTTTTTTTTTGAGATAGAGTCTCGCTTTGTTGCCCAGGCTAGAGTGAGTGCTGTGGCATCAGCCTAGCTCACAGCAACCTAAACTCCTGGGCTCAGGCAATCCTCCTGCCTCAGCCTCCCGAGTAGCTAGGAGTACAGGCATGCGCCACCATGCCCGGCTAATCTTTTCTATATATATTAGTTGGCCAATTAATTTCTTTCTATTTATAGTAGAGACGGGGTCTCGCTCTTGCTCAGGCTGGTTTCGAACTCCTGACCTCGAGCAATCTGCCCGCCTCAGCCTCCCAGAGTGCTAGGATTACAGGCTTGAGCCACCGCGCCCGGCCTAGATTTCTTGATTCTCTCTAAGATTTAATGTAGAATTATTATTTTAGCATCTAGTAATTTTTATCTTTACTCACAACCCAGATGATGTAAGAGGAATACTTACAGAGCTTACTATGTGCCAGGCAGGCACTGTTCTAAATGCTTTACAGCCTCATAGCGCAAAGAGTAAGAACTCTGAAATGAGAATGACCTATCTGGGCATTGCCCCTTTCAGAATCTTGGACTCTTTGTAGGTAAAAATAGTACTAAGACCACCTAGTACTCATGGAACAATGTGGGGATTAAATACATAAAAATATCAAGCACAAGGCACAGCTTATAATAGGTATTCAATAATGTTAGAGTCTTTTCTTCCTTCAACATTTCAACCTGAAAGGTACTAATGCTTTTAGGCTAGTTTTATCAAATGCTTATCTCTGTGTTTAGCAACAATGACTACAGATTTTTCTTATTTTTGGAGAAAATGAAAACAGAACTTTGTATAATAATCAAAGTAAAAAAAGAGGGATCCCAGAGTCTGATTATGAGAGGAAGATAGTATTTTCTTCTAGTTTACAATTATCTTATTAACTAAAATTTCCAACAAATCATTGTTCCCCTCTAGGTCAGAATAATACACCAAGAAAAATTATGCTAGAAAAAAACCTATAATGGCTTCTATACCTGTTTGTTGGGTTACTCATAGTTCTAAGTATATCACCCCTTCAATTTTATTATTTATTTATTTATGTATATATGTAAAGCATTTAAATTTCTAAAACAAGGTGATACTTATAATAAAAGGCATAGATTCCATATGACTGAGAACCATTTAAATAAGATAAACGGAAGAGGGAGAGTAAAGAAATTATCAAAGCAAAAAACTAGGCTAAGGGAAGACACCATAATTAAACCACGAATTTGACTCTGAGATTCCTAGTAGTTAAGACAAAAAGCTTTACATAGCTATGGTGATACAATTAAAAGAAACCATACCAATTCACCTCTGAACTATTATAGGAACTTGGCTTGGTTCATAATACAAGGGACAAATTATATAATAGAGAAGACCCTCGATAAGAACTTTAATAAATAATAGAGGTTTTCTACATAGCCATTCCTTATACTAACTTCAGATATAAGAAAAGACATGATGTTAACATCTACAAAAAGATGGGGCAAAAATTAACAGACAAGTGATATGTAGCTATTTGGCTACCTGCCTTGATATTTATTGACTTTTGTGAATGAATTGATATCATGTCCCTTAGATTATATGAAAATCTTGAAAATCTTCATCTTAGATCATGCTTTTGACTAGAGTTATTTAGTAGACAACTCAAAATTGAGATTAGCAGCAAATGTCTGAAATGCTAATATAAATTCTATGTTACTGACTAAAAGGAGATCAATATGTTCTAGATGAGAAATTCTTCTTTACTGCCCAGCAACCATGGCCCGACAATAGACTGGTTATTCCTAACTGGGGAAATTTTGCTTCCCAGGGGACATTTGGCAACATCTGGAGACATTTTTGGTTGTCACCACTGGCGAGCTGCTAGTGGCATCTAGCAGGTAGAGATCAGGGCTACTACTAAACATCCTACGATGCACAAAACAGCCTCCCCTCAACAATGAATTAACCAGTCTAACACATTAATGGCACCAAGATTGAGAAAACCTGCCCTAGATCAGTGGTCTTCAAAAAATTTTGCTCACCACTTCCTAAATAATTTTTTTAATACTATGTACGCCCTCACACGTTTAAATTGACATCTAAAATTTTTCATAATGGGCTGGGCACGATGGCTCACACCTGTAATCCTAGCACTCTGGGAGGCCAAGGCGGGTGGATCGCTGGAGGTCAGGAGTTTGAAACCAGCCTGAACAAGAGCAAGACCCCGTCTCTACTAAAAATAGAAAGAAATTAACTGGTCAACTAAAAATATATATAGAAAAAATTAGCCAGGCATGGTGGTGGATGCCTGTAGTTTCAGCTGCTCTGGAGGCTGAGGCGGGAGGATTGCTTGAGCCCAGGAGTTTGAAGTTGCTGTGAGCTAGGCTGATGCCACGGCACTGTAGCCCAGGCAACAGAGTGAGCCCCTGTCTCAAAAAAAAAAGAAATATTGATGTACACTTAAAATCCTTACCATGCTGTTTTCATACTTAGGATGTACCTAAGTATAGTTACAAGTATATACAGGCCTGGTGGCTCACACCTGTAATCCTAGAACTCTGGGAGGTCGAGGCAGGAGGATTGCTTGAGGTCAGGAGTTTGAGACAAGTATATAATCAGGGTGAGATAGCTCCTCACTATATGTTATTGGACAAGCAGTATCATTTCAAGGTGTTTTTTTTTTTAGTAATTAAAAAACTTAACAAAAGAAGTACCTTTGTATTATTAATATATAATATAGCTTGGAAAATAAAAGGCATCAAGAAAGCTATACAAATTAATTCCAAATACTTAAAAATATATATATATAAAACTTCCCAGTTTATATAATTGAGAGTAAGACTTCTTAAAATAATATGTTGATAACCCCTAGCCAGTTCTCCAATTTTATATAAGTTGTTCTACAAACTGAATAATAATGTTATAAGTAAAAAAAGTTATTAATTACTTTTAGTGATCATACATTGATCTATGAAATAATGTTTTAAAAATTATATTTAAAGACATGTTTCTAGAAGTCTTACCGTGAGCTGTGTAGTTTGTACAGTTAACTGGCTCTTGCGTAGCATCATTTATTTTGGGATCTTTACAGATATATGTAAAAAAAAAAGTTAAGGAAATGTGGACTACATTCCAACACAAAACATTATCATGTGTTTAACATCTCATATTATACACTCATGTTGATATTAATATATAAAGAGAGGCTGCTAGTTTGTCCAAGTCAAGCATAAATACAAATATATTTTTCATGTTGCTAAATAATACTTGAACATTAACTTATTATAAGAAAAGTATATTAACACATATTAAAAGCTCTAGCAGAAGGATGCCATACTTAAAGAACATCAGGGTATAAACTCAAAGCAAGAATCAAAATAAAAATCTTTACCAAATTATTTTAAAAGGGCTTCAGGTTAAAAACAAATCAGCTTCCAGAGATCTGAACTGAATTAATTTATGGGGCCCCTACCATTATCATATGCGTAATTTCACATAACACAAACAATCTTGTGACGTAAATCCCATTATACCTACATTACAGAAGCACAAACTGAGGCTCAAAGTTTGAGTGGGTTATCCAAAGTCATATAAATGACACGTAGTAAACTCAAGTTTCCTGATTGCAAGCCTAGAACACTTTCCAACAGAGTGCAGGGAACATGGTTGTTTTCTGTGTGGTCACCAAACAGGAATTTAAGTTTTTAAAACAGGTACAATAATCCTCCTCTAAAAGGCATTCAAACACTTGATGGGGGGTTTCTGTCTGCTAAATCTTACTGTTGACACTAAAATGGGGTAGGTATGGTATTTATAAGATGTCTCTGGAGATAGCCTGACCCCTATTTAAGGTTTTTGAATCACTTTTTGGACATTCTATCTTTATGCCAGGAATAACAGACATTTTCCAGTTGTCATCACCTCATAGTCCTATATACTCAGTCACTTCTCTCTATGGTTCAACTCTACATACTGCCCAATTATTTTCTTAGAATCACCCTGAAATTTTTGCCAAGAAAAAGACTCAACTTACTAGGTCAGTGATTCTCAAACTCCAAGCACAAATATATTCAGCAAGTCAGAGCAATTCTGTAACAATCTAATAAAGACTATATCTCCTCAACTCACCTAAAAATACTACAGAACTTTCTTAATTTTATGATTTTCTCTCATAGACTCTTTCTTATACTTCTGGCTTCTGGTATTAGTTTTTTGTTTTTTTTCCTCCTGTCCTACAATGTTTATAAAACAGTATCAAATTTTGTGCAAAAGTAGCTATTTTAGCTTGAATCTAAGTCATATTTTATCTTGTTCCTTTATCACAAAGCTGTGTTATGAGATCCACTTAACCCTTCAGCCTCAGTTTTCTCATTCATAAATAAAGAGCTAACACATATAATCCCTACTATGCCAGGCACTGTTCTAAGTGTTTTACCTTTGAACTGAGGCTCAAAGTTTGAGTGGCTTATCCAAAGTCACATAAATGACAGGTAGTAAATTCCAGTTTCCTGATTGCAAGCCTAGAACACTTTCCAACAGAGGGCATGGAACATGGTTGATTTCTGTGTGGTCACCCAACAGGAATTTAAGTTTTTGAAAACAGATATAATAGTCCTATACTTACTTAAATATAGCAACAAACCTTTAAGTTGGTGGCACTGGTATCCAAATTGTTATTCCAGAGAAAAGGGTTCCAGTAATTTGCTCAAGGTTACAAAGTGCAGCAGGAATTCTTCCCCCTAGGATAGAATCTCACCCAGTTTGAGGATGACAAGGTAATATATATAAAGTTAATGATAAATGGGCAACACACCTTGGCTAGGTTGTTATTAATTACTTGTCTCCTCCCAAATCGGCAAATTTTTGCAGGGTAGAGTCTGTCAATCTGTGTATCACTAGTACCTAGAACAGGGCCTGGCACAGTTGAGGATCTAAATGTTTGTTGACTAGAGAAGCATATTTGTAAAAGAAAAAAAATAGGTGGATCAGAAGACAGAGTGCCAACGACTAGTAAAATCCTAAGGCAATCACACAGAGTGGCCTCTATCCCTACCATCCCCACACCTCTCTTCACCTCCAAGGGCCTCTCAGTCACTAAAGGCCACAAGTCATCGTTTCCTTCAGCGCTGCCCTAGCCCTTCCTGAGGGCCGCGACCCACTTGCGACCCCAACTCTACCTCGCCTCCACAAGGGATTGCTCCCCACAGAGGATATTGTCCCACTTTGAGGTCCTCGCACTTAAGCAACTCCTCGCCTCCGGCCGCGGCTGTGGCGGCAGCCCCCCAAGGTCCTGTAGTGCCTGAGACGAGCCACAGGACACCGAGGAACTGGGCGGCCACGGCCCCCGGCGCAGCCAGCCAGGAGGGCCAGGAGGCCGCCATGTTGGAGACCGGCGCGTCCCCCACAACTTCCGGTGCCGCCCCCTCCCAGGCGCGGGCGGGAGAAGGGCGCATGGAGGGAGGCTCTTAAAGGGACCACGCTGCGGATAGAGGCCAGTTCGGTCACTCGGCTCGTTTTCTTGCCTGAGAGCCTGTGAAATCACCTGAGAGGCCTTTTTTTAAAAAAAAATCCACGTTCCCGGTCTTTCGCCCGGGGCGAATTTCCCCACGAACCCTTGGAAGTAGCTAAGGCTGGTCTCTGAGTGCTGGGAGAAAGAAAGGACTGGAACTGTCCTGCGGGTTTTCGGTCCTCCAGAAGGGCCAGCGGCTCCGGCCATTGAGATAAACGCTTTCCCTGCCTCATTTCTGTTCGTCCTGACAGGATTGGGGTTTACGGATAAGGACCAGGCTCGAAGATGCTGAAAGCTCTTAGTTACTAAGTGACTCAGCTGGAATATAATCGATGTTTGCCAGATTTCAGAATCATCCATGCTCTTTACTAATTATGATCGAAAGTCTCCATGTTACCTTAGAGGATTTGTGCAAGGCTACCACAAAAGAACCTAAGAACTCTGTATCACAAAAAGAGACATCACACCTTTTTAAAAATAAGATTCTTTCAAGAAATAATTTTTATCTGTTTCTTTTTGAAAGAGGGCTCAACATGTTTCTATTTTTTGTAGAGGAGGGGTCTTTCTCTTGCTCAGGCTGGTCTCCAACTCTTGGGCTCAAGCAATCCTCCCACTTCGGCCTCCCAAAGTGCTAGGATTAGTCATGAGCCACGGCTCCCTGCTAAAATTTTCTTAACAAACCAATTTTGCAGCATTACTAAGCATTACTAAAACATTAATGCATAATATTTATGCTTTAAATCAGATTTAAATGATAATTTGAAATTTACTAGTTCTAGGGGAAAGAAAGAAGGGGATGAATGAAAACTTACCTAGCGGATAGGATGAACACTATGCTGGTGATGGGCATACTTATAACCCTGACTCAAGCATTACAAAAGCGATCCTTGTAACCAAAAACATTCGTACCCACTTAATACTTTGAATTAAAAAAATAAGAAATTTACTAGTTCAAGTTAAACTTCTTAGTTTAAATGAACTTTTTCTCTTTCATTTTTTTCCTTTTTTCTCTTTTTTCCTCCCTCTCTCCAAGAAATATTAAGCATTTACTATGTACCCAGCATGAGGCTAAATCTTAGACTCAAAAAGTGGAAAGACAAGAACCAGCAATTAAGCACTTTATGTTTGATAGGAGAAAAGACAATTAACATACTATTTGATAATTATTGTAATAGAAGCACATACTAGCTACTATAGTAGGACAAGAGTTTTAAGATATTCCCCCCAAACAGTACTTGAAACACCATATTTTGTCACTAGCATCAGAATAATTAAAAATCCAGGCCAAACTGAATCAGCAGAGACATATCTTCATAGGAAACATGACTATCCAAAAATGTAGTCCAGAAAAACTAACCATTAAACTTTAAGTTAAAAAACAAAACTCCAGTAAAGTATACAATAGACAGCTCAACACAATCCCTCAGCCTAATCCTGAGATGAAATTTAGGAAAGGGCTAGGAGTCAAGGATTAGGTAAAATCTGTCAAAAGAAAATTATTACAATTTTAGTTATAGATCTAATTGGTTTTTAGTCACAATTCAAGAATATGAGCAGCCTCCATTCTATACACTAGAATGAAAATTCCCACTGGGCAATACAACAGTGGTTTTATAAGGTGGGAACAAGGAAACAGAATAAGTGATTGGTTAACATTAGGTTACTTCAGATTACTTTTTTGTAAGCAGACGGGACTTCCTTACACTGACTCAAGTAGACTGGAATCTTCTATACTCAGGAAAAGCTGGTATGTTTTGGAATCTATCTGCTTCCTTAAAATTTCAGTTGATGTGGTATTTAGCATGAGTGACTCCCTTTCAGTTTGGTCTGGTCTGTTGGGGCCTGGTGCAGGAGCTCAGTTGAAAACAATGGCCTCCCATAATTTTTGCTTAACAAATCCAAGGGTAAGGCTCAGAATGTCTGTTACACATAAGACCTGATAATAAAAAACATTCACTTTGCATTTTGACTACCATTTTTACTCTCAGATTGCTCTGGTTTGATTTTTAAAATACAATCTTAAGAAAATCAGATGGTTAAAGGATGTAACTTTCTAGTTACAAAATTAGACATTTTCCTGCTGACTATAAGAATATTGCTGATCTTTGTGTAATTTTCCACATTGATTTTGAATTAAAAAAATTTTTTTACTGTAGATAGAATAGCTGGAAATCCACATAGATTTTGAACAATTAACTATTAGAAAATGCTTACTCTTTGCTGTTAATACCATTATAAAATCTATTTTTGTGGCTCCAGTCTTCATACTCTCCTGCAATATAGAAACTAAAAAGAACAAAAATGTTTCCTCATGAAAGTAAAGAAGCAATACAAAACTTTTGACTCTTGAACTGACAATGTGTAAAAAATTCACTTTCTCTTCTTACTGCCCCTTAATCTATTTTCTCATGGCTCCGCAAAGTACATTGCACTATTTCTTTTTAAAGATAGTCTCTAATGACATGATTACTACATTGTCTAAATTTAGTAAGAACTTACATCTCAATGTTTTCAATGCCAAATTTGTCACATATAAATTCTATAGAAAGAAAGGATATGACTAGTACAACCCAAGGTGGAAATTGTTGTGTGGAAATATTAGGAAAGAGGATTACCAGCGAAGCCTGAAGCATAACTTCCTCTGGGATTCAAGGGCTCCATACATTGGATCTTTTCATTCTTAAGATTTTCACATACATCTAATTACATTAACAGATAGTTCTTCCCCATAGCAAAACTTTCTAAGGAAACCAACCCAACTCCTGTTTTCCTAGTTAGGACAGAAACATTAAGAAATAATACATTGTTCTTCTCAAAGCTTCCTTTCTTATTTGATTATGATGGGCAGTATTTTTCTTTGGTGATAAATTCATAATATTAGGGCTCTGCTAGAACTTTATTACACCCTCTGCACAACATTTGGAATTTGACTATATTCATGCTGTTAATTTCCAAGTATTTCTGATCGTGTCCTCCCTTTGGTGCCCTGATCTAATTAAATCAAGGTTGATTCAGCACTTAATAAAGCCTACTTTTAGATGCCAAGTACATTTTATCTTAAATATCAAATGGAGGATCTAAAACTGACTTATCAGAGTCCTGCTTTTCTAAAAACAAAACAAAATAAATTGGCTTATCTCAATTTCACTACCAATATCACTTTTATCAGGTTTAAAACTTAGAATCATTTTTATCCTTCATTTTTCTCCTTGCTCTCCTTTAAGACCTTTAATCTAATCAGCAAGCAACTGATATTTTTAAGTGTTCCTTCTTTTGTTTAATCCTATATTTGCACCCTATTTCAAGTGTTCCTCATTTCCTACGTACCTTGTTATGTAGTGACCTCTTAGGTCCTTCATTTTATTCTAGGCTTTCTCCCCAACTTCCTCAATCCATTTTTGTACACTGCTTCCAGATTAATCTTTCATTAAAAAAAAAAATACGTACACGGTGTTCAAAATCCTATTCAAAAACTTTTTGTGGTTCTTTAATTTCTGAGAGATGAAAGGTAGACTCTTTTTTTTTTTTTTTTTGTGGAGACAGTCTCACTCTGTTGCCTGGCTAGAGTGCAGTGGCATTATCATAACTCAGGATACAACCTCAAACTCCTGGGCTCAAGCCATCCTCCTGCCTCAGTTTCCCGAGTAGCCAGGACTACGGGTGCATGCCACCACACCAGGCTAATTTTTCTATTTTTTTTTTTTTTTTGTAGAGCTGGGCTCTCACTCTTGCTCAGGCTGGTCTCAAACTCCTGAGCTCAAGCAATCCTCCTGCCTTGGCCTCCCAGAGTGCCAGCCAAAAGGTAAACTCTTACAACCTAAAGTTCTCTGTGTATTTTCAGGTCCTCCATCATCTGTTGTGGCCTCAATTTTATTTACTGCTACTCTTAGCTTTCTTCTTGGTGTCACCAGTCTCCAGTCTCTATCATACTCATTCCCATCTATGCTGCTTCACTTATTGGGTACTTCCTATGTGCCAGGTATGTGCAAAACATATATTCTTTCCTTCAAAATTACCATATGAAGTGAGCACTGTTACCACAGTTTCGCTAACGAGAATTAGAAGAGTTAAGTAATTTGCCAAGGTCAAAAATTTTAGGAAATGGTGGCATCAGGATTGAAGCTCAGATCTGGCTTTAGGGTGTGCAAGTTGTCAATATCAAGAGTTATTTGTGTCAAATCCAAACAAAATAGAGTCAGGAGGCTAAGAAGGGAGGATCCTTACGCACACACATATCTAGGATAAGAACTATTACAAAGACTCTCTGAAGGGCTCTTACCCACATGTGCCTGTAACAAGAACTTTTGCCAAGGACTTTCTAAACTGCAGCTTGCTACAGAGTCACAAAGACAGCTGGCCTGATATACAAGAACACTTGTCTGATATACTGGCTCAGCTAATGAACTGGGATCAACTCCTGAGGTAAGCCCTGTAACCAATGTTCTCCTTGTTTCAAAACAACTTACCTTTACTTCTCCTTTTGCCTTTAAAAGCTTCCCCTTACCTCAACCTCCCTGAATGCACCCATGGTTGCCATGGAAGGCACATTCTGCATTGCAATGCCTCCACTTATTCCCAAATAGGTTCATTATCTTTGGAGACTCTCTGTAATTTTAGGTTGACAAGAGCTTGTGCTTTTAAAAATTCATCTTCATCATTCTATGAATAAGAGACTCTTGAGGATTCTCAGAGGTAAACATTTTCTGGCACAGAGAAAGCTCCTTAAAAAATGTATTGAGTAAATAATTTTTTTTTTTAAGACACAAGGTCTGGCTGTGTTCCCAGGCTGGACTTAAACTCCGGGGCTCAAGCCATCCTTGACTGTAGGTGTGCCACGGCACCCAATAAAACATTTTTTTTTTCTTAATTCAAAGTAAGAGCCACAGAAAAGCTCACATTAAATTAACACAAAAATGTGAGAAAATGAGGATAAACATGGTAGAGATAGATGTTTACTGGGGTAGTCAGAAAGGCAGCTTCTCATAAGAAGTGAGACTTGAGTCTAGCACTGGAGGAATGGTAGGGCTTACAGAATATTCAGGCAGGGGGAAGAGAACAAATTACAGAAGAGCCATTGTGTGGTGATTCCATGGACTCTGAGTAGACAAAGTTTGCCCAGATTAGGATCCTGGAGTGGTGAAGTTCAAGATTAGGTTGCAGAGTCTGCACAGAGGGGAGAGTTTGGAGGGCCTTGGTTACCAAGAAAAGGAGTTTGGATTTGGTTTCACTGTCAATTCAAAGTTACATAATTTTTTGAGAAAGGGGGAATATGTTCATAACATCATTGAATGTTAAAGTAAGAAGAGGCTAGGTGGGATGATTTATACCAGTATTATAATCCCAGCACTTTGAGAAGCCAAGGTGGGAGAACTGCTAGAGGCTCAGGGTTAGAGACCAGCCTGGGCAACATAGCAAGTCCCTGTGTCTACAAAAATTTTAAAAATTAACTGGGTGTGGTGGCATGAGCCTATAGTGCTAGCTACTTGAAAGGCTGAGGCAAGAGCATCTCTTGAGCCTAGGAGCTCAAAGCTGTAGCAAGCTATGATTGTGCCACTGCACACCTCCAGCCTGGGCCACAGAGCAAGACCCTGTCTCTAAAAAAATAGAAAAAAAAAAAAAAGAAGTAGTAAAAAAAGACACAATGTTTGCAAGGTGATGCTTTGACATAATTGGTCTACACTTTTCTTTTTGCTGTGCTGCTGACTTGGGAAACATTACCTTCTCCATTTTACCTAAGTAAATCCCAAATACTGTTAAGACCTATCTAAGTTTTAATAATGCTTTCAACAAGTGTAATGGGTCTCTATTTTCTGAAGGTCTGGCTTCATTCTATTTGGTAATTTAAGTTATTGTATTATATAAAGCCATTTCCCTGAATAGTTTCTTAGTTCCTAAAAAGCAGGGACCATGCTGGTAATGTGTATCTGTTTACAGGCCTAAGGAGTGATATTTCCTTTAAGACAAGCAAAGAAACTATAAAGTGCTAAGTGCAGGATCCTACTATAAAGTGCTAAGTGCATGATCCTACAACAAAAGTCTTTATGTTGGAGTTGTTTTGTATATATACCTCACCTTGTGAGGACAAGGATACCATTTTACACATCTCCCCAGAGTCAATCATAGTGTTTAACAAACACTTCATTTATTCAATGAATAAGATACCCAAAGATTGATTCTCTAACCTTTAATGTGTAGACTGTATTAGACAAAGTAAAATGCCTATCATCAAAGTTCTAAATTAAAGAGAGTGGATGAATGCCATTGTGGCATATTTTTCTCCAAGTCAACCTGTGACATCAAGAATGAAAATTTTAGGGCCAGGCGCAGTGGCTCAGGCCTGTAATCCTAGCATGCTGGGAGGCCGAGGTGGGAGGATCACTTGAGCCCAGAAGATTGAGGTTGGTGTGAGCGAGGGTAAGGCCACGGCACTCTAGCCTGGGCAACAGAGCGAGGCTCTGTCTCAAAAAGAAAAAAAAAAATGAAAATTTAAAAATGTATAGGGAAATCAACACTGCAGTTAAGAGTCAAAAGACTCCGTCTGGGTCTCAAACTTTGGGCCAATTAACCTACACGGTACCCGGTTTCTTCATCAGTTTCTTCCCAGAGTAAATGAGATAATGCATAAACTAGCACCAGGAATATAGAAGGCAAATACTGCTAGATTAGTTTCTTCCCTTAACTAAATGAGAAGAAAATAATGACTCCGACAGTTATACTTCCACGAATATTTTATGTTGCGCCAGTGGACATAGAAAACATAAGGAGGGTCGAGAGAACGCGAAAGGAACAGGGCAAAAGGACAAGGGCTAAGCAGATTTGAGCAATGGTTTAATCAATATCCTCCTTCAATTTCCTCGATCTTGGCTCTCGCTCTCCACCCAGCTCTCTCACCACACCTGTCGAGCCGAATCTCCCACACGGTTAGTGCCGGCTGCCCCCACCACGCTGGCTTTCATGTGCCCAGCCGGCCCTGCACACCCCACCTTTCCCAGGCTCTTTAAGCATCCCTCGACCAGTCGAAATTCACCTGCACAAAGTAGTGAGGTCGACCGTCCTCCCGCCCCGGAGCCCGCCTCCCTCGGGCCTAGCTCCCCGGCCCGCCCCACCCGCGCCACCGTGGAGCCCCGCCCCGGGCGGGGAGGGTCGGGGCGAGGGGAGGGCCTGCCAGGTGAGGCGCGGTCACCCTGGGCCTCTCACTTCCGCCCAGGTGAGGGAGGGCCGACGCAGAGCCCGCCCGCCCTGGTCTCCCACTGAGCCTCCGCCGGAGCAGGTAAAGCGTGGCGTCCCGGCTGTCCCGCTGCGCGCTGGGCCCCGGGGGAGGGGGTCCCCGCGCCTCAAGGCCGCAGGGAGCAGCTCCCCCGCCGGCTGCCGGGCTGCCTTCCCTGGCCCCGCGCGCTCCGCCCGCCAGCCGGCCCGGAGGGGGTGGGGGCCGGAGGCGGAGGGCGCCGCAGGGCACTTGCCGGGGCCACCGAGGGTTTGGGCTGCCCCCGGCGTGCGCTCGCGCTGGCTTCGGAGGCGGGGCGGGGGCGCCGTCCTCCCGCGTCTGGCCCGGGTGACCCCACCGTGGTCCCCGCCCCGCCGCGCAGGGCTCGCCGGAGGCCGCTGGCAGGGGAGCCGCCCAGCCTCGGCAGGCCTTCCCGGCCTCAAATCTCGGCCCAGTGGCGTTTGGTAGTGGCACGGATCAGATTTTGCATCCGTATCGGTGCCCACGCTTCGCCCCTGTAGCTGTGCGGAGTCTTTTCTCTCGCCGGTGACCGTGGAACGAGTGAACAGGTGGTGCCCTGCCTTGGGAGCCTGAGAAGGAGCGGGTGCCCAGACCCAGCCCAAGGGGCGACCTGGGCCCGACTGGATAGTGGCGCCTGGTTGTCACGTAGCCGAGGTTCCCAAGCCTGCGGTCAGCCCTGGGCTTTGCCAACCTAAGTAGACTGGGAGCACCACGCGGAAAGTGCGCTGGCCTCCAGCCTCTGGGAAAATGCCTGGATTCCTGCTTCCAATCCAGCTGAGGAAGGCATTTCCAGATCAATTCCCACCCTCCAAAAAGTGCCTCAGCCCTCCAACACAACTCGCAGAACAGCAGACCAAATTAATCTTCCCTTGGAGTGTTTACTGGGTACTGTGTCTCCAGGTGGCTCCTACAATTTTAGATTCTAATTTGTTGTTTCCTGGTTTGTCTCCGAGACTGAGAAGGTGCTCTTTTCAGGGCCTTATTTATTTCTCTAGGTTGTTTCTCTACGGCATTTATGGTCAGATCGTTCGTAGGTGCTTAATAAGTGTTTCTTAAGTGATGGAAGAAGACTTCTGGAGACCTAGAAGAAAAATCTCAGTTCCAACAAGGATGACAATACCACATTGTAGGCTAGCTAAGCTCCTATTAGCTGCCAATCCATGTGCACACATCTGTTTTATTTTTGTGTGTGTGTGGCTGGCAAGTGGAGTCCTGCCCACCTCTCCACCAATCACCTGGAGAAGCTGCTGTGGATGCCAGCTATTGTTTTGTCTCCCTTTCCAAACAGATACAGCTTGGTCTATAGCTGCACTGCTCCATGACAAGGAGGCTTGCATACATCTATTTTAGAGGAAAGCTAGGGTAAAGTGAGAGTAAAAACTCAAATCTGTTCATTTTGCAGCATTAGAAAATTTTAGATGAGATAGAGACTGTGATGTTTCCAGGTCCCTAATAGTGTTTAAGATGTTAACCAGGCTGGGTGCGGTGGCACATGCCTGTAATCCCAGCACTTTGGGAGACTGAGGCAGGAGGATTACTTGAAGCCAGAAGTTCGAGACCAGTCTGGACAACAGAGCAAGACCACCATCTCTACAAAAAATTTAAAAAGTAGCCAGGTGTGGTGATGCATGCCTGTAGTCCCAGCTATGGGGAGACTGAGGCAGGAGCATCACTGAAGCCCAAGAGTTCAAAGTTACAGTGAGCTCTATTCGTGCTACTGCACTCTAGCCTGGGTGACAGAGCGAGACTCTGTCTCCAAAAAAAAAAGTTAACCAAAAACATCGGAAAAATATCTCTAAATATGTTAAATTTATTTGGGAAAGAGAAATGAGGATTATAACCCAAGATGCACAGCAATGGCAAATCAAATACGCATCTGAAGAGGAGAGGGTATAGGATAGCTTTTATTGCCAAAAGAAGTTCATTTAAGCTGCTTGAAACCATTCATTGGTTTTGGAGATTCAAAGCCAGAGTTAGCCTCAGTTCATTGGTGGAGATGCCATTATCGGGCAGGTGTTTTTTCGAGAGCATATTACCTGAATTGCTGCAATCCTAAAGAATTTTTTGCAGGGTTATTTTAGAATGTCCTTGAGACAATTTTTATCTCAGACATGCAAGCATGAGCCTTTCCCCTTTGTGCTCTCCCAGCTCTAGTTTGGGTCTGATAAAAAGTGATTTCATCCTGGTATCTGCAACTTTGACAAAGATATTTAGAAAGAAAGATATTTAGAAAGTTAATAAATATGGAAGTGGAAGGTGCTTATGGATAGAATTTATAAAATAAGTCCTGAAGAGATTTGCCCTTATTAGTTTAGATCCTATTAGGGGTGAGAGGAAAAAACACATAACAGCAGTTTTTCCTCTGCTTCCACACCATTGACAATCAACCCAGAAGACTTCTTTATTTATTTATTTATATATTTTTTGAGACAGAGTCTCACTTTGTTGCCCAGGCTAGAGTGAGTGCTGTGGCATCAGCCTAGCTCACAGCAACCTCAAACTCCTGGGCTCAGGCGATCCTCCTGCCTCAGTCCCGAGTAGCTGGGACTACAGGCATGTGTCACCATGCCTGGCTAATTTTTTCTATATATATTAGTTGGCCAATTAATTTGTTTCTATTTATAGTAGAGACGGGGTCTCGCTCTTGCTCAGGCTGGTTTCAAACTCCTGACCTCGAGCAATCCGCCCACCTCGGCCTCCCAGAGTGCTAGGATTACAGGCATGAGCCACCACACCCGGCCAACCCAGAAGACTTCTGTGACCAAACGTGTAGGAATTTCTCCCAACGAATGAGCAAGCAATCAGGTTTGCCGTGGAAGCTGGCTGGGTAATTTTCAACTCAAGTCCTCCAGGTAGAGAGAGCATCAGGTCCCACAGGTTGAGGACTCAGTCCCACAACACTAACTTCTGATGCCCATCACAAGCTCCAGGTTGTTTTACCTGTGCTTCTGACCAACTGGCTGTAAAGTGGGGATATCCACCCCCCCCCTTGGGTTTGATTAATTTCTTAGAGTGGCTCACAGAACTCAGAAACACTTAGGTGTACTGGTTTATTATAAAGCATATTACAAGGGATATATATGAAGAGATGCACTATTATCCAGAAACCTCCCCGTGTTCAGCAGTCCAGAAGCTCTTGTACCCTCTTCTCTTGGGCCCTTTATGGAGATTTCATTGGATAGATGTGATTGAAGAATGGAGTGGGGAAACCCAGGATGGCCTGTCTGGATTCTTTTTGGCCTCTGTACAGCATTCCTTCCTCTAGGGTATGGGCAAAACCCTTTCTGAAATGGGGGTCTTCTGACCAACAATCAGAAAAGGTAGGTCAGAGACTTTCTTGATGGCCAGCTCCAAGACAGAAAGGCAGGAAAGAGTAGAGTCCTGCCTTGGGGAGAAAAAGGAGCAAGTGAAAGGAAGGCAGAGAAGGTCAGGGAGAGAGATTTTGTTTCCTGTCGACATTGTAACAGAAGACTTTAACAAGGGCTGTGGGAGTTATGAGCCAGGAACCATGGACGAAAACCAATATATATATGTTACAATATCATAAGGGGTCACATAAAATAGGCTTGCCATTAGAAAAGTAGTCTTGTTTAAAGTTGAAAAGAAATTGTATTAGGCTCTCATCTGTGTTTAACAATACCTTAATAGGTTCAAGGCCTGTGTTAGTGTTTCTATACCTGTAAGGCTAACATATTCATTGTAGAAAAATTGGAGAGAATTTTCAAAAAAAGATACTAAAAGCACACAGAAATCTTTCCACCCACTATTGAGAGATAATCACTAATAACATTGTGATATATTTTCTTTCAGTTGCATTTTTAAAGTGAAAAAGAAAAATTTGTATATTTTCTCACAGCAAATGTACTTTTAGCATCATGTAATTTTGAGACAGTGGCTCAGCATTTTCTGGTCCTTATAATTGCATTTTTACTTAACAGCATTTAATAATTATCCTTCACTGAATAGCCAAGCAGAATATACTTGCTTTGTTAAAGTTTAACAAAAATATGTTGCTCACCCTTGATGAGCAAATTTGTAAGTTTTTTGGGAAACAGGACTATTTTACCTTAATATTTGCATGACCATTGCTGTGTTTTTTTTCTTGTGTAGATTTGGATGCCTTTTTTAAAGCCTCTATTTTAGGTTCTGGTGTAAACGTGGAGAAATTTAGTGCCTATCGATACCCTTTTAGTTAGTGGGATAGATTGATGTTGAAGATGTAGAGCCCACTTGATTTTTGTGTTTGCACAGCTATGCAGCCTGTAGAGATCGGAGACATGGAAATGGGTCACTTACCATGTAACACTTGGCAAGTCATTTGCTTCTGGTCCTCCACAATCTGGTCCTATTTGTAGATGATCTACCTGACTGACATTTGGGGAGGTTGGAAGGAAATAATGTTCAAGAATGTGTCTTATAGGCCGGGTGAGGTGGCTCACGCCTGTAATCCTAGCACTCTGGGAGGTGAGGTGGGCGGATTTCTCAAAGTCAGGAGTTCGAAACCAGCCTGAGCAAGAGTGAGACCCCATCTCTACTATAAATAGAAAGACATTAATTGGCCAACTAATATATATAGAAAAAATTAGTCGGGCATGGTGGCACATGCCTGTAGTCCCAGCTACTCGGGAGGCTGAGGCAGGAGGATCGCTTGAGCCCAGGAGTTTGAGGTTGCTGTGAGCTAGGGTGACGCCACAACACTCACTCTAGCCTGGGCAACAAAGCGAGACTCTGTCTTCAAAAAAAAATGTCTTATAAACTGGAAGCCAGTATTCTCCTACTCTTTGTTCCTCTATCCTGATGTTTAATTCAGATAAAATTATGGAGTTATGTTCCTGTTTTGGGGAAGAACTCAAGTTTGTGAGTGTCCTCAATCTGATAGTTACTTTGATAAAAAGTATAGAGACTTTATGAGCTGATAAACAAAAGTCTTCTAAAAACTGTAGGGATCTTTCTGAAAAAGTATAGGCTGAAACTTTGCCATCAATACAGTAAGCCATTTGTACACATGAGCATTGTGCACTTGAGATGTGGTTAGTGGGGATTGA